GTAGATCTATATCTGAATAAAATCATCAATAACTATGTAAATTGTCCAGAAATTTTACCATTAGTTAAATTTAATGCTCCGGCGAGAATTACTCGAAATATGGAATTATTCCATATTCCAACATTTAAACGACATTATACATACAATAATTGTATTAATCGTACTTTTGACCAAGCTAACCAATTTAGCCAGCGTCTTCTTCAGCGGTTCTCTGTATTCCTTTAAAAAGCATGCCACTAGATTATATAAAAAAAAATGCAACTGTATTATATCAAAGGGTGTACAAACCCGTAAATAAATAAAAAAAAAATAAATATACAGGGTTCACGCTGTTACTAGCCAGCGATATTTTCGAAAACTATTATGATTAGAAAAAAATGGGAGAGGAGAAAGTTTTATAATTTTTTATGATCAATGGGACAGTGTATATCAATTTTTCATAATTATATTATTTCGCGAGAAATGAAGGTGACCTTCAATTTTTTAAATAAAATGCCCTATAGTTTTTTAAGCCATATGAAAGTACGTGTCAAGACTAATTCATTCATGTACTATATGATCACCTTCGAGGTATTGGAAAATCGAGAATAAAAGAAGTTTCAATACCTCATAATATTGTGTTTATTAGAACTCTATATTAATATGAAGAAATTAATACAGAGAAAAAGTCGTTCAATATGGTTTCCTTGTCTTCGAATACACATTTCATTTCTAAGGATTACGTTTATAGTTGCTGCCGCTCTTGTTGTATGTTATATTTTAATTCTTAAATCATTTGTATCTATGGGAGGCACATCGTAAAAAAATCTTGAAGATCATTATATAGTACGTGAATAAACTCGTCTTTCATTGACACATACTTTCATGACATAAAAAATTTCGGGGAAACATTTCTGGCCACACAGTATATTTTCGGTAAAGAATTTTTTTCTCGAAAATGCGTAGGATTTCGATGGTATGTCTATTCACAAAAAATGATTGTAATTTGCCCTCACAGTTAAACATAATTTTTTCAGAACGATTTGAAATTTTTTAATTTCGACGAAAAGTTTGTCCACTTACTGAATTTTTTTCTAAAAAGTGGATAGGATTTCGATGGTATGTCTACTCACCAAAAATGATTGTAATTAACCTCCGCAACCAAAAATAATTTTTTCAGAATGATTTCAAATTTTTTATTGTAAATTTTTAATAATTTTTTAAACAAGCCTCAATCAACAAATTGGCATTCTTGATTTTCGTCTTATTTTGGCCTCTAGAATCTCCCATTAAAATTTATCCCAGGGGTGGCCAAACACCCTGTATAATTAAAACTTGTTTAGATTAAATATGATCAAAATCGATGAGGAGTCCTCCACTCCGAATAATTACTGTTATTTTCTAAATGCTGTATATTGTAACGATATAAACGAAACAGTTAAATAGCTCATCAAAGACTATATTTGAGCTATAAAAGGCCGATCAAAATTCAAAGTTGGTGCCGTTTCTCGTGAATTTGGCGGTCTGAACAACCCTTTCGAGTTCCATCAGCGGTCCAGGTCCGCGTTCGCGTAGAATTGAATCCTACCTTTCCTCGGTTCTCCCCCTGGTCGCCCCACCAGCGGGGCCGCGGCATCGGCACAGTAGAAAGCCGACCGTGGACGCTCGACACTCTGTTTCTTTAATTGCGTTAATAAATAAAGGACAGTCGGCCGAGGCCAGTGAGCCAGGGCCAGGGAGACAGAAGGGGGATAGAGAGAAGAAAGAGGAAAGGGAGGCGGCAGCCAAGAAAGAGGAAGACGAGCCCAGGGGTTGGAGGAAGGGCGAAGGACGCGAAACGATGGAGGAAAGTGTGTGGAGGTTGATTCCGGCCGCTATCTCGCATCTCCCTCCCTCTCCATCCCTCACCAACCCCACCCAACGTAAGCAAATCGCAATATTTAACGCGATAGTTAGTCAATCTTTCTTGATACGTGTGTAGGAGGATGATGCCGCGCCGCTCGGCCAATCTACGGCCAGTTGCTCGGCCCAACATCAACGGGAAAGTATATTTTACACGTTTGTCAGGAACGAGGACCCCTTCCTCCTTCCATTCGGCATTCCTCGCGTGGGAAACAATGCAGCCCCATGGCTTCTTTATGCTCAAAGTGTCGCGGGTCAGTTGTTACCGGGACGACCCGATACCCAATCGGATTACAGTATCGTCCCCGGGGCTCGTTGGGGACTCGAAGATTGCGGCTCGATTCGAATTTTTCGATCTCCCGCGCGCGCGCGGAAATAAGACGAGAGAGTTTCTTGTTCGAGTATTAAGGCGTTATCTGAGATAATGGCGGTGGTTCGGGACACGGGGACGCACGGTAACGGATTATAACGTTTGTTACTGTTAATTGTTTAGAAAAATTCCATCGTTTTTATAAGGAATTTCTTCGTGCAATGTTTTCACGTTGAAATATTTTTGAACGGTTTTGACAAAATTGATGGATGTAAGAAATTCTTATTTTTCGAATAGAAATTTTTGTATATCAATAATAATACAGTGTAATTGAAGAGATACAATTAAATCTTGATTAGTGGATGTTGAAGGGAAATTAAGAATATTTTAAGTTACAGAGGTTTTGATTTGAAGTTACTTTAATAATAATGATAACACCTTGTCTTTGTACCCAAATATATATAATTTTGTTTATATTTTTTTTCTTTTAATACAAAACAGATAATGAGAGTATTATTAGACATTTGCATCGAAGAAAAGTGGAATATATAACTTGTGAACGGTTAAAAAATATAAATCTTGCTGTCGATTCAAAGAAATGATTAATAAAACATACATATGTCTTAAATAAAGACACAGTATATTGACAAAATTTCCAGTATCGTCTGATGACTTCTAAAAGATGTTAAATCGCTCGTGAAAGATGACCTAGATTCCAGCTATTTTGGTCTCAATCTTTAATCTGGAAAATGTATGCACAAGTGTCACTTGTAGCGAGTAATGTGCAAAAAGACTTAACACGTATCATCAATAAAATATTTGCATATTATGTAACATAATTCTCAGGTATTGCGATTTTAAAGGAAAAAACCCCCAAGTTGCACAGAATGTTTTTTAATATAAAAAAGTGGGGGAAAACGTTCATTTTAGTTATTTAATATAAAATATATATAAACTTTTCGTGGTGGGTTAAATAATATAACACCATGCATGAAAAGCTGAGCAAAAGGTGGGACAGTTTTTAACCTACCAAATCTTAAGGATTTAAAAACTTAATTTTTTTCAAATTTAAAATCTTAACATTGACATTCCCCCTTCTTCTATGGATAAAAAGTGACTATAGATTAAAAGTGGTTAATTTGGACTGAACAACCCCTAAATTAACTCGGTATAACTTAAGCCTCCCCGATACAGCAGATATAAGAACACTGGGAAAAGAAAAATTATCATCAAATATCATCAAACGACACGACACCCGTTTGAAATGCTAAACATTTCATTCTAACCAAGAAAGACTCTCTCAAATAGGTGTTATACGATCCAACTTTTTCAAATTTAGAATTTTAGAATTCTCCTTTCTTTCTACAGATAAAAGGTGACTTTTTACAATTTTTTACTTAATTTTTGCATTAAAGCGATCAAGTAGCTATAACTTAGGCCTCCTCGATGCGGCAGGTACAAGATCACTGGAGAAAGAAAAATTATCGTCAAACGTCATGAAACGAAACGACACCGGCAACGTTGAATAATAGCAGACCGCAGAGTCGGGATAAATTAGTAGACGACACGTTTTCCATGGGATAGTTAAGAACAGCCCAGTCGGAGATGAAATCGAGGAAGAGCGAGAGTAGGAATTAGAAGTATAAATCGTCGGCTGGTTCGACCTCGTTGGTTCAACCTTCGAATATGTGTTTGGATTGGCCAAAGGAGATTCGAGGGAGAAAAAGGAATCCCTGGACCAAGGACTCCGGAGACTCGCGGGAGGATACACGACAAGCTTCTGGCTTTGGAGTGGTCGCTTGTAAAACAACAGAGCGGTGCCTTTCTGTCGCGCGGTTCGATCCCGTGGGATCCGGCTACTCGTTTATCGTGAGCCCTCGAAAGAATCGTGTGCTGGCCCGTGGGAAACGATACAAATATTTTAATAAACATTCCTCGTTCGCCGAAACGTCTAGCTCTCGATGGAAATTACTTGCATCGATCGGTCTGTCGATCTACGAAAGGTCTGGGGCAATCGATCGTAGGTACTCTTCGTTGAAACCTTTTAATCTACTGTTACTTTACGCTTGTTCGTTCGTAAACGGGACGACACTTGCAGTACAGCAATGTTATATAATTAAATCAGTGTTTAATCGAACTAGAAATGAAAACAATGCTCTGAGACTAGATTGAAAAATTTTATTACGAAAAGGGAAGGACGCGAACTGTTCGACTTTGATTTTAGTGTGCTTTTGCAATATAATGTTAGAGTAATCCCTTTTGACGTATACAAAATATTAGGTGTAAATATTCAATAGCTTTTGAAATATAAATAATTAATGTGGGACAGTTATAACTTGTGTATAATCCCATCTGTTCACAGGATGTCTCGTGAAATTTAATATTATTTCAGTTCAGAAGTTTTTGACACAAATTGCTTGCAAGTGTCGAGACACTAACAGAAGATTCATTATTGTCATTGGACTCTGGCAATGGCAGTATTGTAACATCAATAAACTCCTACTTGCTACATATTTTTTCCAATACAAAAATACAATCCTGAATATTTGGAGATGCTTCTGTTTTCAAGTCAACAATTGGGTCAAACGTTGAGTACGCGAAGACACGATTAAAAACACAGAAATGCCCATAACTGTTTAGTAAATATATTTGTAGCTTGAAAACGTAGTAGAACGTGACGCAAAATTAGACGAAGTCGTAAATAATATCCTTTTCGTTATACTCTCGTTGAAAATGATTGCAAAAAGTATTTATCACAATTCAGTTTTACTGTATTAAATAATTGGATATTACGATTTCTTTTTTCTAGAAAATATCTCTCCCATGTCCATGAGGAACTTCCCCGCATCCTTCTGGAACAGCCAGCATCCTGGCGAGGTCTACGAGTATCCAACGGATCCATGGCATCCACATTATCCACAGTATCACCACAGGTGAGCCCACCTAAGATTCCTTATCTTGTCCTTAAGATATGTTTCTACGTTAAGAAAAATCAATACCTAACAGTTTGTAATTATTCTATTTAAAAACGTGACGATCCTCAGTCCCAAAGTCAACGTTAGATTCTATTCATGAAAAATTAACCGTTTTCTTCAAACAATTCTCTGAATAATAACGAAAAAATTGCAATTTTTGAGCTGTGTCATTTTCTAGAGTTGAGTAAATTCACGATTAACGAATAAAATTGTTAGAGTTGTTCTAATACTAGATTCTAACTCGCCTGAATGTCAGTTTAAAACATTCATTTATAGATTCTAATTCATGGATGTATTTACAAATGAAACATAAATGGAAGTTTAAATTTTAAACTTAAGATTTAAAATTTGCTCAACTCTAATTTCAACTCCCGTCCATAAGTCATTTAACGAACGTAGACCAAAAACGAATTAATACTGTGAAGCGATGTAAATTGTAAAATGGAACTACCACTTATTTATTCGTTACAAAGGATAACTCATATGGTATGTTATGGATTTTAACAAAATGTTAGCAAACAATTCAAAATTTTCATGACTTCAAATTAATGGTAGAATTCTATCAACAATTATTTTTCATTACTTCTTAGTATTTTTTTCATTAATACCATTCCAATCTTTCTATATATTCTGTAATAGTCCACAAATTCTAAGTCTATTAAGCAGTATTAAAACATGAGATGTTCATTTTAAGAATCTTGACTGTATTAAGACATCAGATGATCATCTTGAGAAACATGACTATATTAAGATATAAAATGTTCATTTTAAGAATCACAATTGTATTGAGATATAAGACGCTCATCTTGAGAATCATGACATTGTTATTGGTCACAATTCTACCTGTCAGAGCATCACAAGAAATTCATAAGTAAACTAGTAGAATTTATTTATTAATTAATTTCTGTTTATGTGTTTTCTATCACAATGCAAACAATGTCCTGCTTACCCTTTCTCAAAATTTAACTATAGAATACTAACTGGAAGAACGATTCAAGGTACAGTTCTGAATCAGTTTTGAGGCTTAAGGTGATTATTTTAAGAATCATAACTATATTAAAACGTAAGATGATCATCTTTAGAAACATGACTATATTAACGCATAAGATGTAATAAGATGTAATATCTCAAGTCATAATAATCACAGTCGTGAAATATTACATCTTATTACATCTTATATCTTCATATAGCCATGTTTCTCAAGATGATCATCTTACGTCTTAATACAATTATAGTTCTTAAAATGATCACAGTCGTGATTATTAAGACTTGGGATATAAGATGCTCGTCTTAGGAAGCACGACTGTATTGAGATATGAGATGTTCTTCTTAGGAATCACGATTGTATTGAGATACGAGATGTTCATTTTAAGAATCATGACTGTATTGAGATATAAGATGCTTATCTTAAGAATCATGATTATTTTGAGACATAAGATGATCATCTTAAGTTGATCTATAAGAGTTGACGACGAGTGTAGCCTCATCATTGCTAAACTTGGTATCAAAAATTTGCAACCAGTCAAATTCAAGGGGTTAATTTGCATTTTTTAAGACGGAAGAGCGAAATGTCCGGTGACTTATGGACGCTGGCATAATGTCTAGACTTCGCGACGAGGAGAATCTTTCGGAAAAATCGTGTGTCATGCTCTGATTTAAAATTCAATGAGTGTCGCGACTCCGTAGTCCGTGGTTCGCGCGTGACGCGCGAGACCAGGGCTTGATTAATCGTCGGAATCGTCGCGAGCGTCGTTCGTTCAATTAACGGACGATAATGCGGCCAATGTTTCACGCATTCCAAAAATCCACCTCCGGCAGGCGCGACACGGTCATTACGCGATAGCCTGCCGGGATAAACCGTCAGAAATGAATGTCGGGGCGCGTACGAGACGAGAAACGAGCAACAGAGGGAACGAGAGAGAGAGAGGGTGAAGAGACGTCTGTGAAAAAGGAAGGAAAGAATGAGAGAAAAATCACGTGAAACGGAGAAAAATAGAGAATCCACACGAGCACTAGAACGAGAAAGACGGATTAAAGGACCGTGGTACGAAAGGTGGGAAGAAGAGGGAACGACGAAGAGAAAACGAGACGTGAAAAATACAGAAAACCGTCGGGAGCAGGTACCCCTGTGCTCCGGAGAGATCTTTAGCGCTGATCTTGCGTCGGTCGCCGTATAAATTACCAGTCTGTCACCGTTCTTGAGAAGAGGCACGATATCGAGAATTCTTTCCCTCCTTCTCTCTCTCTCTCTCTCTCTCTCTCTCTCTCTCTCTCTCTCTTTCGCACGCGCCACCCTTTTTCTCTTCTCATTTCCCCCACCCCGTAACCCTTTTTCGGTCCTTTCTTTTCCTTCACGCGGTCCCCGTTTGTTTGTTTCCTTCTTTTCTTTTCCCCCCGTAACCCCCTCACCTTAGCCCCCTTGGTCGTTTTGGTTTGTTTCTCGTTGTTCCTGGTTCTCGCGATCGAGCATCGAAGTTAAGAGGCAAACGGTTTCCACGGTTTGTTCCAGGGCTGTGCACGAGTATCACCACCATAATATGGCGGCCGTGACGAGTTACGGCGGTCTGTTGTTGGGTGGTGCACGAGGACTCGGTCACCATACGTCCCACCATGCGGCGCACCACGCGCACGCCGCGGCCTCCTACAAGGACTGGACGTCAGCGACGCCGTCGCAGTCGCTCGTCGACGCTTCCTCCGCACCCCCTTACCCGCACGGCCCATACGCGCCCCTCTCTGGTGAGTAGAATAACGAGGGTTACGTTTAACCTTTCGTGGGACGGCATTTTTTTCAATGAAACGTTGTAGATCTCGTTCCGAAACCTTGTACACGCGACCGCGACCATAAAGTTTCCGGAATAATTCACTACGAAATTTTATCTGGAGAATTAAACAGGTGTAAAGCCTTCCAAGTAATGCCCTCGTATCTATACACGCGACGGATCCATCGATCACGTTTCTTGAACTCGTTTTTTGGTATTTCATCTATCAGGTGGGGGGGGGCACAGAGCGTTCGACTTGGATTTAAATGTGCTTTTGCAGAATGGTGGTACAGAGGCTTTCTTTGACGTATGCGAAATGTCAGGTGTAGATATTCGATAGTTTTTAAGGTATAAATAATTAAGGTTACACACATAAAATTACATATATAAAATAAACGTTTAATCAGTGAACTTTGAGTCTTCAGTATATATTTTTTTATACATAACGACAAATGACAAGTATCATACGTGCTACTAGAAACGTTAAAAAGACAAATGTGCAATATTACAAAATTAAGAAGAGATACAAACTGTTCGACTTCGATTTTAATGAGCTTTTGCAGAATGGTCGTAGAATCATTTCTTTTGACACATGTCGATTATTAGGAGTAGATATTGAATAGTTTTTAAAATATAACTAATTAAAGTTACATGTGATGCATTTAGTCTTTTCATAAAAAGAAAAATATCTTGTATTAAGATATATTATAATAGCTAATTTTGCAGTATCCTATATTTGTCTGCTTAAGGTTTCTAGTGTGGCTTATCACGTAAAAAGAAAATATTATAAAAGTATATAATTTGCAATCGTATACAAAAAATATATTCAGTACATATCCATCTGTAAGATAGTATGTAGCTTCAATTATTTATATTTTAAAAATTGTTGAGTATCTACACCTAATATTTTACATATACCAAAAGGAATCTCTACTATTATTCTTCGAAAGTATGTTAAAATTGGAATCGAACAATTGGTGTCCCTTTTGAGTGTGTTTTTTGAAACATTGGAGCAAGGCTTAACAGGGCTGAATTAACCAATAAGTTAAAACAACGTAAAACAAATGACAATAATAAAAATTTAGAAAATAGCTTCCTAGAGAAATGAAGGTCTTCTTCTTCACACTATATTATAAAGGACGCCACGACGAATTCTGCCACAATCTCTTCAAGTATACTGACACATATGTGTACGCTTAGTGTTTAAATTATTTTAAATATTATATCATAATTTCAATGACATGTTATGACAACATTGTCACAAAATTAATGGTCGGTGAATATCAGTTTGCATTTTCGTTTATTGGGAACAAAATAATTTGCTTCTGAAGATATTAGATGTTCCTAATAAATGAAAATGCAAACTAATATCACCCACGACATCCATTAATCTTGTGAAAATGTTGGCATGACATGTTATTGAAATTATGATATAATATTTAAATGATTAAATATTTATACCCTGAGAAGTATTAAGCATCTACGCCTAGTATTTTACATATCCCAAAAGGAGTCACTCTACTATTATTCTACAAAAGTATGTTAAAATTGAAATCGAACAGTTAGTGTCCCTTCCTTGTCAGAGTGTCTTTCGAAACGTTGGAGCAAGGCTTAGCAGAGCTGAATTAACCAATACATTAAAACAGTGTAAAATAGATGGCAATAATAAAAATTTAGAAGACAGTTTGCTTCATAGGAAAATGAAAGTTCCTTTGATTTTCGACACCATTATGAATTGTTCCATTTTAATTACATTATATCTTGAAAAGTAGTGAGTATCTACGCCTAATATTTTACATACACCAAAAGGGATCGCTCAAATATAATTCTTCAAAAGAACATTAAAATTGGAGTCGATCAGTTGGTGTCCCCACCTTGCTAGTGCGTCTTTTGAAACATTGGAGCAAAATTTAACAGGGCTGAATTAACCAATTAGTTAAAACGATGTATAACAGATAGCAATTATCAAAATTTAGAAAACAGTTTGCTTCATAGAAAAATGGAGGTCTTGAGTTTTGATGCCACGTCGAATTGTCCCACTTTATTCATTTATATACATATTGAGCAATATTAAGTACCTACGCCTAACATTTTATGTACGTCAAAAGTGATCATTTAATATAATTCCCCAAGAGCACATTAGAATTGGAATCGAACAGTTGGTGTTCCTCCCTTTCATTTATTTTTGAAGCACCCTGTATAATTCAGCGGTGGAGGTTGCGGGGGTTAAAGAGGCAGCGCGGCCCTTTTTGCAAAGACGTGTCCCGAGCACCTCCGTCGAGCGGAGCGAAATGTTTTACGGCCGAGCCGCGGCTTTTTGTCGTCGGCATCGATGATTTCGGTGGGAGAACAACGAAGAAACGGGGTCCCGAACGTGGCAGCGCTATATCGGCCCGCGGCCCCCATTAAGCTCTTATTAATTGCGAGCATCTGAGGGGCCGACCGACCTTTCTTGCGCTACCTGCGCGCCATTCTGCCTCCACTCGTTCCGCCGCCCGATACAAACGCCGCCCGAACGCTCCTCCTCGGCCTTCCAACTTTGATGTCGAGTCGATCCTCCTGACGAGATTTATCATGTAAATCACGGATAAAAACCACGCGCACCCCGCGCTACAAACCCGGGATACGCTGGTTGCGCGTCTATCGATTCATCGATCGTCGTTCGAACGCACGGAGGCGCGGCTTTCGAGAAGATAGGCGAATCTGTTAGCCAAAAGATAATATGTAACTCCGAAGGGAGTATAATATTTGGTGTACGCTGAGTTTCTTTTTTTGTATGTTAGAAATTGTACGATACCTTTTATTTATATCGTTTCGTTTGAATGGAAAGATCCTCGTGGTTGTAAAACAAAATTATAAAATTTTATATGTAAATCATAAACGTGAACGTGAAAGTTTTAACTAAAGTAGCTATTTTTCACTTTGCATTCCCTTTTCCCAACCCTCTGGTAAAAGATGAAAGTCCTTATTTTCAAAATCTTGTAGCAGAAAGCTTTTGTTGTATAGAATGGAATAAATGAAAGCCTGATAGGAAAAATTTAATAAAAAAAGGAGAATTTTAATATTCTTTAAAATGATATCACAAAATTGCACTTGAGTGAACATTTCTATTAAAATGAATTCTTGGATTGCAAATGGTTAAGAACGTTCTTAAAGTACTACAAAATGGTGGCAAAGTTTAACACTGCAAATGAAAAATAATCGTAGTTGATCGCAGAACAATACACAAAACATATTTTAATTTCTCAACATTCCAGCCTAATAATAGTTAAAATAAATTTTCCACACTGCTCAAAGGTTCACAAATAATATTATAAATATTAAAATTGACAACATACTAAATACTCTCGACTAAACTATAAATCGACAAAAAAAATGTTATGTATTCGTTTATACGCATCTCAGAAAAATGACTTTCTTTTCAAAAAATATTTCCCGCAAAAGATGCATATAAAATTCTTTCCAAAAATCAGATTGCATTCTCGGCGATAAAACTCACCCTTTCGCCAGAATGTTACGCAACAAGGCGAAATCCGAATTTATGATAATAATCGGTATTTGCGTACAAAATTCTTGGAACTTAAAAAAAATTGGGATGACGATTCGCGCGGTGGAATAAATATCGCGTCGGGCGATTCACCTGCACGTCCGAACGCAAATGCAACGCGCGCGACTTGCAACGTAGGGTGCAGCTGCAGCGTGCCGTGAAAACACCACGCCCATCGTGATTGCGGAGACCACTCCCATCTGTCTGCACGTCGCTGCAACCAACACGCCTTCCGTTTTACCTTGGGACGGTCCCGCGCGTTTCCACGCGTCACGTCCGTGACTTTTGACGCAACGTTCCGCCGTGTTCAACAACTTCCGCGTCCTTCCTTCGGATTTATTTTTATCTCTGGATTTCCCAGCCCAAGAATTTCTATTCCCATCGAAGCTCGACCGCGTCGCGACGTCATCTATCAACGATTTTCTATCGTTGTCTCGTTAATCGTTAATCGTTAGTCGTTAATTCGTAAGTCGTGTATATACATATGTAATGTCGATAAGGTAGGATCCATGTATAATATATACGCATGACATCTATTGTCTCAATATTAAATTACTTTCCTCATATTATATTACAATCACATTAATGGGGTTTACTGGTCTGTAGTCCTTCATAACGTATTCATTTATATATATGTATATATATATATATATAATATATTCGCGTTATGAAGGACTACAGAACAGTAAAAGCCATTAATGCGATTGTAATAATAAAAATCCTTAAAAATCGAATACCTTTGGTCTATAAAATAAAAGACTAATACTAAATTAGCAAATCTATCGTTAAATAATAGTTACAGATGATTGATATAAGAACGATCTATGAGTCAATGCGCACAGTTTAGTTACATTATACATAGGTTAGGTCTAAACGACGATACCGAAAGATACAATTGTCGCGATGTTAATAATACGGGGTTTCATTTATGTATCTTTATGCACTGAATAAACTAATATTCTAAAGTTAAATACTGCGTACTGCTGTTAAATAGTTTGAATACAAACTTTATTATAGGTTACTATAACATATATGTACTCTTATTTCCTACTAAATATTTTAGGTTATGTAATAAGTCCTTTCTTTGTAAGAATGTCAAACATTGTAACAAATCACTTTCGTTCCCGCGATTAGGAGTAAAATAAAGAGTCTTCTATCAATTAATATTAATTTGTTCTTCTGAACGAAAAATAATGCAATATGGTCGACGCATGACCTCTAAATACGAAGGAGTTAGGTTATATATTAGGTTGAGAATATCAAATATAATTTTATATAGAACTTATTTGATCAATGCGCCATTTTAATACACGATCTTCTGCCATCTTTTGGGTAACTTAAATAGAAACATTTATTGCTTTGTGTATTAAAAAATCCAGCTGTATATTTATTTCTTCGATGTTTTCAAGTGACTATTTGCTAAGAGAAGT